TTGTGACTTTCATTCCAGGTTATGATTCTCTGTGTTTAGCCAACTGAGTTGAAAACAAGAACAGTTTTTGGGGAACAATGGTGCTGCAGCCAGAGATGCATCTCTAAAACTGTTCAGCAAAGCCTTGTTGGAAAATATGCTGTCAAACCACAAAATCCTCCCCCTTGTGATTATATTCAAACCATCTTCAGATTCTGGGGTTCAAGCTGAAAACTCTGTATTTTTTGTGAAAAAGTTTTCCTCTGGGTTTGCTTTTGTTAAATACTCTTTTTATTTTTACCACCCCTACTATGCAAGAACTGTAATAAAAATAATTCTGCAGGATCTGAACCCAGCAAGATTTATCAATTTGAGTAATTTTTTTTTAAACACCATCTCTGATAAAAAAAAAAAAAAAAAGGACCAGAAAAAGTGGATCATTAAAGTAAGAAAGTGCAGCTTGCACTTTTTCTACTGCTCGTAATGAAATCTCAAGCTTCTACAATCCTCTGACCTTTTTGTTACCCTTGCCATACACACCAGGAACACCTGAGATCTTCAGGAGCTGCTACTCTCTACTGGTTTGCTTGCCCCTCTGCCATACTGGGAAAAAAATATGTGCACTGCTCTTTACACAAACTGTGTATTTTAGACAGAAATATAATCAGAAATTAAATTTTAATTTTCCAGAAACTATTTTAGTGCAAAGGTCCTAAATGGCATTAAAAAAACCCCCAAATTAACACAGGAAACCCAACAACTACCTCCCAGTTAACTCCCTTCAGGAAATATATGAGAACATCACTGGCTCCAAAATCTGCCACGTGCTGTTAAAAATCAACCTGCTGCAAGTGACAACTTTCTGCAACTACTGCTAGAGTTAGAACTTAGCACCCTGCAGCTGGCACACCTCACTGTCCAGGAAACACCATAGAAGCTGCATGGACATTTCTTGGTCACCTGTTCTGACCACAGCTTCCCTACAACCACTCTGGTACCTGCCTTACCCCCAGAAGTTCCATTTTCCAAACTGGAACAGAAGTGAGCAGGCAAATGCAGCTAAGATGATGGCTACATCTCCCTGCCATGCCTCGAGAGAGAACTGGAACAGTGAGGCTAAAGCAAAAAGTTGTTTTATGGATACCAAGTTATAGCCAGATCCAACTCTTCCCAAAGTGTTCTTACAAATGCTCCCACACAAGGTGCAGCCCAGATTTCCCATGCCATGCCAAGCTGGGGAGAAGTTAAAACAATTTTTGAGCTTTCCTGGTACCAATTAAGCCAATTAAACCTGGTACCAATTTTTCATTAACTGAATACCAAGTTTCATTTCAGTATTTAATCCTCAAAACCCATGTATTTATTTTTCCATTCTATCTTGATTAGACCTGAACCACTGCAGTCCACACCTAAAAATCACTAGGCAGCAGTATAATCAAACTAAAGGTAAAAGCTAAGGCTTAATCTGAGTTGTGTAAAATGTTCCTACTAACATAAAGTCCCCATTAGACCTTATGATGGTCATACATGAAAACAAGACATGACAAACCAGTAATGCATTGACCTCATTAAAAGCAGCACCTCACACTAACTCAAAGCAAAAAAACTCTAGCACACAATATTCCATATAGAACAGAATGTTTCATTATTCCTATAGGCCTTCACTTACTATTTTACTGAAACAGTTTGTTTTCAAAATAACCACGAACGCAAAGTAGTGAGATAACAAAACCCTTCTGGAGATTCAACCAAAGATATCTATTCAACACCGTATTTCTGTACCGCTGAAAAAGCCTGTCAAATAGTTGACATGAGCACAATGCTTAAACAACATACTTATATGGAAATAAAATATATTAACTCCCTAGGGAACAAAACCAAAATTCAAGGAATTCCTGGAGGGGAAGAAAAACAAAGGGGAGGGAAAGCAGGGAGGAGGGGGGAAGAGAAACAAGATGTCTTTCAAAGCATTTGTTTCCTTCTGATAATCAGACTACCACAAAACCCTCAAAACCATTGGGGGTTTGTTTCCTTTGAATCAGAAAAGTCAGTAGAGAAATGGATGCTAATTAGGCAATAAAGGCATAAAATGTTTTGGAAATGGATTTAAGGATATGAGTCTAGAGGAGCATGAAGAAGCTGTAGAAAAAACATG